ATAAAATTCATTAGGAAGATCGAAAAAGACCAAAAGCAAAATAAAAATAATTGTGAAACTAGGAGTGATAAAACTTTGGCACTGTGGTGGTAGAGTACAACTCCAAGTTGGATAAAAATTTTATTTTGATAAAGTCACACAGTGTTGTTGTACAGTAATATTTACTGATGATAACGTTTCGAGCACAAATTATTACTGCTCATAATCATATCAAGTCACTCACTCACACAACTTTCTTGCTTCATTTATATACATGAGTGAAATTGATGATTAGACATTTGAATAAAAATCAATATAGGATAATGTACATTCAGAAATAATAATATTAGTGTTATCAATAAAATACAATAAGATAGGAAATAAGATGTTTTTTATTTGTCCCATATGGTAGAACCAGCATGATCGAACATTACCTTCTGAGAAGTGAAATGATTAGGAAGCCTACTAACTCCGGGGTGTCCATATATATCATTCATATCCTTCTTTATATATTTAGGTTAGGTTGACTGCGTAGTATTGTAACGACAGAAGACAATGGCCGGGCAACAGATCGTTTATTGAGGAAATCGAAAGATGTTTATAGATTTTATATGCATTATTATTAGCTTTATTGTTAGCGGGAAGCAACGTCTTCTGATTGGTTGTTTTTTTGCTGAAGATTATTCTCTTATCTCTTTGCGACCGTTTCTTAGAAAGTTAAGCCATATATCTGCGAGTCATATTTGCATACAGAAAGATTGAGCGAAGAAATATTTACTTTTCAATTAGATCCTCTTCTCTGGCTCTACTCTAATATATATAGCATTTTTTACAATACACAACAATTTACCAAACACGTGGCGATATGTTTGTTAACAATAATTAGTCAGTGTCAAAATGTCAATGGGTAGATAATTAACGCAGAAAATCAATACACATTTAAAAAGTAGAAATGGATAGAATAAATTAATTTTACAAGAATAACACGTAATTAAAGATGAAGTGGTCAAAATAAAAATAAAATAATTTGGACAATTATAATTTAATAGGGGGAGGGGGGCGACGTAGTCCTGTCTTGTAACGATGGCCACGGTAAGCAAAGTGGCTGTACAAATTTCTTCTGTACACATAGGCTTGGTTTCTTCTGGTGGATTCCAATTGCTTCAGCTGTCTGTAGAAGACGAACTCTTAGAGCAAAGTTAAGATTAGTCGGAATGCGATAAATAATTTTAAATGCAGTATTCACATCAACCTTGTGCTCAGTATCAACAAGGTGTGCTAAAATAGAACTACGAATAGATTTTATTTGTCCCTTGCTTAACCACGCTGGATGATGTTCAGAAATACGACGATGAAACTGCCTAATTGTACGCCCAATGTAGCTGGCTCCGCAGCTGCAGTCAAACTGGTAGATACACATAGAAGAGGCAAAACTAGGTAGTTTATCCTTATTTCTCGAACACAGAATAGGGGTGGTTTTGAAGAGACAACGTACTTCTGCTGCATAATAAGCTCTATTAACTGCATTCTTCAGGCGCTGTGTTATTATTTCACTGATGTTGTCACCGAGGAACTGCAGTTTTATGAACATTGGCTTTTTCGAAACTGTAGGCATACTGACTCTCTTTGGTGCTGAATTCATATTTTTCTCAATGAATTTATCTGGATAACCAATTTTTCTAATTAATTCTTTAATAATCTTAAGCTCCTCATTGAGGCAGTCGTCTGAACATATTAACTTAGCTCTATGAACCAGACACTTTACCAGGTTATGTTTATATTTCAAAGGTACAAAACTCAAAAAATGAGTGTACTGACCTGTTGTTGTAGGTTTCCTATACACACTCCTTCTTAGTGTGCCATCATCTTTCCTTGCCATGAAGACGTCTAGGAATGAGATACTGTCATTACTTTCTTTCTCTATGGTAAAGTTTATTGCTGAATGTGCATCATTAAACTTGTCAAGGATATTCATTGCATCATTCTCGTCTTTCATAACCACATATGTGTCGTCTTCTACAGACAGCTGAAGCAATTAGAATCCACCAGAAGAAACCAAGCCTATGTGTACAGAAGAAATTTGTACAGCCACTTTGCTTACCGTGGCCATCGTTACAAGACAGGACTACGTCGCCCCCCTCCCCCTATTAAATTATAATTGTCCAAATTATTTTATTTTTATTTTGACCACTTCATCTTTAATTACGTGTTATTCTTGTAAAATTAATTTATTCTATCCATTTCTACTTTTTAAATGTGTATTGATTTTCTGCGTTAATTATCTACCCATTGACATTTTGACACTGATTAATTATTGTTAACAAACATATCGCCACGTGTTTGGTAAATTGTTGTGTATTGTAAAAAATGCTATATATATTAGAGTAGAGCCAGAGAAGAGGATCTAATTGAAAAGTAAATATTTCTTCGCTCAATCTTTCTGTTTTCCAAATGTCTAAATGGGGATATTTTCTATATTTGCATACGTTAAGTCTGCTGATGAGTTCCTCAAGGTTAAGCTTTGTTATTGTTTTTCCTCATGACCCTGATTCGGGACGTAAACATTGACGTAAATTGATGTCTACAATTTTGACTTGCAGAAAGCTCTCACCACAGTATCATCAACCCACAAAGAGGCACATACATGACGAAGGTGGCTGGTGGTTTGTCAGGTATCCAAAAATTCGTTCCAGGTAACTGAAGCTAGAAACTACATATTATCCTTAATAAATGATCTGATTTGGCTACGAATTGCGTAGCACATACGGTGTCAACTGTAGGGAGGCTACTTTTGTCGACAGTAACTAGCAGTGGAATTTCAAGATGCACATTTCGTCCAATAAAGCATTCAACAGTTGATTGACGATGTTCCAACGACAATACCTAAACCGGACGAAAGGCGCATCCTTGATCCCATTGCTACCAATCAAAATAACATTATGTTCAATATTTAGATATGGTCAAGCCCTTCATATTAGGAGACGCCGTGTTAACAGAGACCAATCATTTCGGTACACAACATAATCAATCAGTCAACGGGAAATCTAAATTAACTTGTTTTTTTTATTTAGTCTAAATATGCTTCAGTATTCATTATAGAATAACAAAGTTTTGGAAATACATATATATATCCCGATATAAATTTAAAACAAGCAAGAAAAGTTAGTAAAAGCAGAATTTAGTGAATTCATCAAATTTCGGCAGGACTCTTCAGCCGGATACTCTCTTATTATTTCAAGTTTGATTCCAGTTAGAGTACCATTGGAGTCCGGAGAGTAGAGGACAGCTGTTTCGTCCTAATGTGGGACTCATCAACAGTACGCACCCAACACAGTATTTCGAACATTTAAGACCTTCCGGTTACAAGTCAAGCTCGTAGACCATTCAGCCACTGGAACCCGACTCAATGGCCAGACTATGAATTCTAACTTACGAATTGATGATTTTAGCGCGACTTGCACCAGCCAATGTCATCGCTGGCGAGTATTTGTCCTCACTCTCGACTTGTTGGTGGATCCCACTGGTCACAACTTCTCACTAGAACTCCAGGCGACTTTCTCCCGCAGCCAGTCACTAGCGAGTATTAGATTAATTTTCATGAGCTTGTTTGTACATATTTGATATTATTACTATTTCCGATAATAATTATAGTAATAATAAGGTATCCAGCTGAAGAGTTCTACCGAAATTTGATAAATTTATTAAATCCTACTTCATTACCTTTTGTTACTTGTTATAACGAAGTTTGATAGGAAAAGAAACACCGCCGTTAATTCAACAGGCGGAAGAGAATTCATCAACGAGCAAATTTTCATTCAACAAAAGGACTACAAAAAAAGGAAGCAAAACATATTCATCATGTGATCTAATGCTCCTGAATCTAATCCTTCATCTAGTCTTGAAATGAGGACGATTTTCAGTGGATATCTTATTTACCTACTCTGTGTGTGTGTGTGGTAATTTCTGATGGAATCTACCCATCACTCAGTCTATTTATTTTTGGTTTAAAAAAATAAATAACCCTAAGGAAGAAACATAATTCGACAAACAGTGGGCAATGAGGAAACAGGCATAAAATGGACTCACACAAAAACTTGGAGGATCTGGACTTCGCCGATGATGATATATGTCTGATTTCCCACAAACTGGAAGATATGCAAGCGAAAAGCAACAAGTTGGCAGAAGAAGCATCAAAGATAGGACTTCAGGTGAACATAGAGAAAACAGAGGTGATGAAGATTCCTGGACAAGAACAACAACAACAGACAACGATCAGCATAAATGGGAGGAACCTGAAAGAAACAACCTCCTTTACCTACCTGGGAAGCATCGTTTCAACTACAGGCGGAACTGACGAGGATATCAAAGCAAGAATCGGAAAAGCAAGACAAGCTTTCACTACTCTCAAGTCTGTGTGGAGATCAACAACACTCAACTTGGAAAATAAGATCCGGATTTTAAACTCCAATGTGAAGTCAGTGCTACTATACGGATCAGAGACTTGGCCAGCGCGTCATAAAGAGCATCTCAAACAAACTACAGACCTTCATCAACAGTTAGCTGTCTTCGCTCAATACAACTCAAGATCAGATGGCCAGCTAGAAAAGATCAGCAACAGGGAGGGATCTCTGGCAATGAGCGAACCAACACAGCAGGAACCGATTGTGAAACAAATAGGCAGGAAGAAATGGAGATGGATTGGCTGGCCATACTCTGAGGAAACAAGTCATCAAGTGACATCACTAGACAAGCCATTGTTCGAGTGGAACCCTAACGGATGGGAAGCGGCGAGTTGGTCGTCAGTGCGAGGGTGGGGTGACTTGGAGGAGGTCATGTGAAGAGGAGATGAAAACGTGTGGGCAGACTTGGAGCCAGGTGAAGACTCTAGCAGAGAACCGAACGCAATAGAGACGCACGGCTGAAGCCCTATGTTCCTCTAGGAATTAAAGGAAACAATAATGATAATAATAATAAGGAAGAAACAATAAAATCAAACCGCCATGTTTCATTCTCAATGGTTAACATAAAATGTTTCTCTCAATGATAACAGTCTGATAAGTAAAAATATAAAATGTGAATATAAGAAATAACAATGAAATAAAATAAAATCAATTTAAAAAAAAATACACATGAGTTCAATTTACTTTCATAAAAATGAAATGAATTACTAGTTATAGTTAGTTTGTGATAAAGTGTGTTGTAGCGCAGCAAAAAAAATTGAATCACGCGGGTTATTTCAATGTTGATATGTTCAATGATGAAGCAGTTTAAACAACATTTAAAAAATTCATGTACGCATTAAAATAAATCCATGATCAGTTTCTAATAAATCAGATGAAAAATATGCAAAATACAATTGTCTATATTGATGAGTAACTATAGTATATGAGAATCTTATCATTATATTTAATGGATAAAAAATATATTTGGTGTAGAATAATAACTTTTGTAAGATAGTCATTTCCTTTACGTCGTGTTCTTCTGGATCTCTGTTGTTGCATACTTTATTACTATTAGTATTATTAACATTACTGTTATCGATCTTCTTAGTTTGAAATATTGATAAAAATCCATTGTAGAACTTTTGTAACGGTTTCGGGAATACAAACTTCAAGTACTTATCTATCTCCTCGACTGAAGGTTCACGAAGTTGAAAGTTAAACCAACCATTCGTTGTTGAGTAAATAAATTTCATTGGCTAAACGGTGTGTACAGACAAAAAATAAAAGAGAAAAGAAACAGATATATAATTAAACATAAGACAGCAAATAAAAAAAAACAGATATAAATACTGAGTAGTGAACAGAGAATATTCTTATATATGTCCAAACCAAGTTCACTTTTAACAGTTTGAAAAAATTTGGGCATTGGGTATATGATATTCATTATAATAAAGGTTTTTGTATTTCCCAATGAATGAAAAACAAAACGATGTTGTTTTTACTGACGTTTCGCTATTTAATGCTAATAGCTTTATCAAAGTATTATTAAACCGGAATTTACAAAATCTCAGCATATATATAGCTGACATCAAACATGGTCGAATACGTATTCCGAAAACATGGACCTCGACAGTCGTCATTCCACATAGAGCAGAGACGTCAGATGATATCAGAAGAGTACTCAATCAGCTCGATATTAGAGTTTTCTTTAAAACATCAGACAACACTGCGAAACAACCTTGTCCATATAAAAGACCAGATCCCTAAAGATTCGCTATCTAATTGTGTCTATAAAAAAAAATTGCTTGGAATGTGATGCGATTTACATCGGACAAACATCTCGAGAAATCAAAATCAGAAGAAATGAACACCGTAGAGCATCCGTTCGATCACCGAGAAATCCAATTGAACTGGAAAAGCTTCAAAAATCATCAGCCATAGGTCTACATGCTATAGAATCAGGTCACAAAATTGATTTTGACAATATTGAAATAATCCAGAAAAACTTCAGAAATCATAAAATACGTCTAATATCAGAAACACTTCATATCAAGTGGAATCCAATTTGCGTGAATACGAATGATGGACTAAAACAGAATCTGACCTGGTTACAACACCTCCCTCCCCAATGAAGCGACAAAATCAACACGCATGTGATATACAAGTTCACTATGTAAACACACACTGCCTTTATAATTTTAAACACTGATCAAATCCAACGAAAAATGACCCCAGTCTAACGAACGATGATCAACTTAGTAAACTTTGTTTTGCTATCATAACAGATATACTACTACCTTTGTTATTTGGTTTAGTGATCTTCATTGGTATTTTAACTTTCAATATGTCTTTTTAACTTGACCTAAGTCTATTTTCTCACCCCTTAACTCTTTGTTATATATATATGCTGAGATTTTGTAAATTCCGGTTTAATAATACTACTTTGATAAAGCTATTAGCATTAAATAGCGAAACGTCAGTAAAAATAACAATATCGTTTTGTTTTTCATTCATTGGGAAATACAAAAACTTTTATTATAATGAAGAGAATTTTCTTTTCGATAACCTGCTCTCTATCAGGTTCTACAGTTATAAATGCATCCATATTAATAATGAAAGAATTAGGGTTATTAACAACATTAATGTGGCTTAAATAACATCGAATCAATCAATAGTATGAATAGATTACAGTTCAATAGTGAGCATCTATAAGCGTGATAATATGCACCAACATAACACAACAGTGAATGAATATCAGACAGACAAATTAGGGAAAATAATAATTACAGAATTCATGAATTTATAGTCTCCATTGAAGGTCGACTGGAGCAATAATAGTGGCTGTCTGGACTTGTTTCTTCTGCACACAAAGCACCGGTTACTCAAAGTGGATAGAAATAGGCTGGATGCTTTTGACAACTTATATTTGGTACCTGGTAGATGATTGAGAAGGATACTTCAATGCTGGCCTTGTGGCCTGTTTGAACCAGGTGGTCTAAATATCGAGCTATTGATTTTTTTCATTATACCTTTATTTAGCTACACTGGTAGGTGCTTCCGAGCAAGCACGAAAAGATCAAGTTCTCAGAGCAACGGCCAGTATAACTCGTTCCACATGTGCAGTTGAATTGGCAGATACCATTAAAGGTGGCTGGTTTAGGTATTTCATTTTTCAGTTTAGAAATCACAACCGGTCATGTATTAGTTTAGTTTATTTTCTTAGAGATACTGTCTTGGAGTCAAAGCTTTTTCAATATGCGTCGGCGGTACAACGGTTATGACTCTCGCCAACCATGCACATGGTCTGGGATTCGATCCCCTACCGACGCACAACTGAGATCAACAGTCGGCCTGCGAAAAATTTGGGCTACCGGTATCACATGCTGAAAATTCCATACCTGTACCAAAAAATACGGTGTAGAATCAAGCTGTAATCAGGAATAAATTTCCCGTAAACACATGATTTCTAGTATGCTGTTTGACCGATGGGAAAAGAAGAGAAGTAAGTCTCCGACAGTAACGAGATTTTTCTTATTGTTGTCCTGCCTCTACAATGCTTATGGAGTGAGATATACTGGCCGTTGCTCTGAGAACTTGATCCTTTCGTGCTCGCTCGGAAGCACCTACCAGTGTGGCTAAACAAAGGTATAGTGAAAAACATCAATAGCTCGATATTAGACCATCTGGTTCAAACCGGCCACAAGGCCAGCATTGAAGTATCCTTCTCAATCATCTACCAGGTACCAGATATAAATTGCCAAAAGCACCCGGGTACCGAATACTCCAAACATCAGAGGCTATTTCTATCCGCTTTGAGTAAATGGTGCTCCATATGCAGAAGAAACAAGTCCAGACAGCCACTATTATTGCTCCAGTCGACCTTCAATGGAGACTATAAATTCATGAATTCTGTAATTATTATTTTCCCTAATTTGTCTGTCTGAGATTCATTCACTGTTGTGTTATGTTGGTGCATATTATCACGCTTAGAGATGCTCGCTATTGAACTGTAATCTATTCATACTATTGATTGATTCGATGTTATTTAAACAACATTAATGTTGTTAATAACCCTAATTCTCTCATTATTAATATGGATGCATTTATAACTGCAGAACCTGATGGAGAGCAGGTTATCGAAAGGAATATTCTTTGTCCAGTAACCATTCTTTTGAAGAAAAGTTTAATGAGCATTTTTGATCAATTGAGATATGAATACACTGGCTGCAAACTAGATGCTAACAATAAATGCCATGTTTCTAGTCCTGAGTGGGCAAAGTTCATTCAACTTTCACCGTCCAATATGACACAGGAGTACCAATGACTATGAAAGCAGAAATTTCGCTAAAAAGGTAAATTTTGGACCCTGTCAATGCTGGTGAACCTTGAATAGTTTGTTTAATTGAAGCTGATCTTCATTTGGTGGGAGACAACAATGACGATCGTTGCTTATTCGCGTACTGTTTGGCAGAGGACAGAAGATATACCATCAGAGGTACTATTGTACATTTTATTAACGCTCATTCCTAGGATTCGTACATAGTTACTTGTAGTCCTGTTTCATAATCTGTAGAGGAATAAACAGTTACATGATCCCTCCGTTTTCTTATATTCAATGTTGGTTACCATGCATAGTATTCGGCGTGTTAGGTGTAGTCTTCTGAAATCAGCGACGCGGCCAAGATGTTTTGCAATCTTGATATTTGACAGGCGTCCATAACACTAATTATTACTTAACCTAACTGTGATCCATGCCTAACCAACCCTCATATCTCTATAATTAGGTTAGCCAATCCCTTATCCCGAATCTGACCTTAACCCCTCTCTCTAACCTGCCTTACTTGAATCCGACCAGATATTCTGTTCAATACCATTGCACTTCATTCAACAATTTCTTTCGATGGATACAGTACTTACTTACCTGGACTGAACACTTCAATGGGCACTGATGCGTTCATGTCTGTTAGGTGTCCAAAGTTAAATTTCCCTTCCTGTGATGTGGGGGGTTTGAATTTTGCTAGGCGATATCAGCTCCTTTAAGGTGTAGCAGATTGGCCTCGTTGACGCTTTCCTGGTACGGACAGCTTCCCACCAGTTGCTTCCGATCATCTGAAAACCAACACTACTGTCTGACGTGATTAGTTTCTAACTACTGCTTACATCAATAAGTAGTATCTGCACCATGTGAATATCAGGCGACTAGCATCTTTTCACTTTAGATTAACGTGACTGTGCTTATGAAAGTGTGTGTGTGTGTGTGTGGACGGTAATTACTTCTTGGCTACCCACACCACGAAAGCTGACTTTTTCTTGGAATATTGCAAACACAAAGATCATTAGCGTTGCGTGGCCACAATGCACAGGGGACAACTGCATGAGACCGGTCATACACACGCACACACATACATGTCCTGTTTCCAGTGGTTCTTAGGAATTATATCCGTATGAATATCTTACCCACCGCTACAGACCGCACCAAAAGGTCAATCAGGATGGAAAATTTCCGTAGTCCAGCTTTCTTAAACTTCACCACCTTCCTCTGCTCATTGGAGTGAAGAGGTAGCGCATAGCTGGATTGCTTGTCATCTGAGAAAAACATCTTACTATTATACTCTTACATCTCAATTCCCCATGAAGTATGACTTCACCACAAGACCCTCAACACAGTGAAAACATGGTGGTAAATGTTTTTAGTAGAAAAAACCTTATCGAAGAGAACTGTTTGTCACCAACAGAAAACTTCGTTCCAGTCAGTACAGCTCATTGAGTCATTGGTGGTATATTATACAAACCCGACCATCGAATCAAGGTAGTAGCTATCGGCCTAGATTATTATCATTATTGTCTCCTTTAATTCCTAGAAGAACATAGGGCTTCAGCCGTGCGTCTCCATTGCGTTCGGTTCTCTGCTAGAGTCTTCACCTGTCTCCAAGTCTGTCCACACGTTTTCATCTCCTCTTCACATGACCTCCTCCAAGTCACCCCACCATTGCACTGACGACGAACTCACCGCTTCCCTTTCGGGTTCCACTCGAGCGATGGCCTGGCGTGTGATGTCACTTGATGGTTTGATTTCTCAGAGTATGGCCAATCCATCTCCATTTCTTCCTGCATATTTGTTTCACAATCGGTTCCTGCTGTGTTGGTTCGCTCATCGCAAGAGATCCCACCCTGTTGCTGATCTTTTCCGGCCGGCCATCTGATCTTGAGCGAAGTATTGAGCGAAGACAGCTAACTGTTGATGAAGGTCTGTAGTTTGTTTGAGATGCTCTTTATGACGCGCTGGCCAAGTCTCTGATCCGTATAGTAGCACTGACTTCACATTGGAGTTTAAAATCCGGATCTTATTTTCCAAGTTGAGTGTTGTTGATCTCCACACAGACTTGAGAGTAGTGAAAGCTTGTCTTGCTTTTCCGATTCTTGCTTTGATATCCTCGTCAGTTCCGTTCGCCTGTTGTTGAAACGATGCTTCTCAGGTAGGTAAAGGAGGTTGTTTCTTTCTTTCAGGTTCCTCCCATTTATGCTGATCGTTGTCTGTTATTGTTGTTCTTGTCCAGGAATCTTCATTATCTCTGTTTTCTATCGGCCTAGATTGAATGAACGTAATCTTAGGCCAGGGAACCCCTAAAGGATTATATGCACTACTGATGTAAATTTCAAGAGTGTTATGTGAAAACAAAACAAGAAAAAAAGTAGTAAAACACACGCCTTACTTGTGATAAATTCATAAGTTTGTCACGAAGTTCTTCAATAGATGATACTTGACTAGGATAACTAATCCTTGAAATATTTTCTTTTATCCAGAATTCCGTAAACATACCAATGAATGAACTGTGATTATTATTATTATTATTACTACTATTATTATTATTGAACACTGGTACAGCTGATTGTATTGCTATACAACATTGTGTATTCCATGTAGTCAATGATTTATACCATTCTTCAGAGTGTAAAGTATCCAATAAGATTAAAAGACGCATACTTCTGGATAAGTTTTTGAACGATTTCGATAGACATGATAATTCCCATAAGTCAATCAGATTCTTTAAAGTAATTACACTTTCATCTGTTGAAAAATCAAAATAAAAAGAAAAAAAGAATTTTCTCTCTGAAAGAACTGGTGTATATGATAGTGAAAGGATTTTATACATTTCAAATGTTTTATTTAAACGTAAGCAACAAATTAGAAGGAAGAAATGGAGATGGATTGGAGGCCATACTCTGAGGAAACAGACCATCAAGTGACATCACATAACAGGCTGTTGCTCGAGGGCAACCCAAATGGGAAGCGGTGAGTTGGTCGTCAGTGCGAGGGTGACATGCAGGAGCAGGTCATGTGAAGAGGAGATGAAAGCATGTGCGCAGACTTGGAGCCAGGTGAGAACGTTTGCAGAAAACCGAAAGCAACGGAGACGTGCGGCTGAAGCCCTATGTTCCTCTAGGAACTAAAGAAAACAATAATAATAATTACTAGGAGAATATTAAAGAAGAAGTTTTCAATGAAGAGTTACTCATATATAGTGTGGCGTGTGCTACTGATGAGATTAATAAGTAGTATAGAAAGAGACATTCGTCGGCATAAAATCGTCATATAGCGGAGAGATAGATTTAACGTCAAAGAAAGCAAATGATTCAGTGTTGCGGCAAAAAATGCGAGACACAAAGAGAAGACAAGAAAAATAACACAATACGAAGGGTAGAAGGCTGGCTGGCTGGATTCAACATAGAACTTGGCACCGAAGTGCAACAGTTCGAGTTGCCACGTTCCAAATAGCACACAAAGGTAGACAAGAAAATGAGTGAAGAGAATCAATAGAGTTTTGACAAGTATAAGAGTGAAACAGAGTGAGTAATGGTAGAAAGGAATATGAAAGATTACCCAAGAGACTGAATACATCTGCGTAAGCCATTGACAACGATTTTGAGCCATGTCATGTCACCTATTGTCTCCAGCCATTGATTCTTAGAGTCCCAAGGGCCCCAACCAGTCAGGAAGTCTGCATCTTCCTACCTGACTCAGTTTAACTGTCAAGGATTTCATGGATTGATGAGGCCATGTTTTTGTTTGGCCACCACTTACTCTTTTCCAACCCACAACACCTATATCAGCTAGTAATGCCCGTCGGGGTAGGCGATGGTTAGGCATGCGCAGCACGTGACCTAACCATCTCAATCTATGTAACTTTATAGCCTCTTCGATTGATTTTCCCTCTTTGCCAAACCAACACTCTACGCCTAACGTCAACATTACTTACCTTATTATACCACCTAACGTGAGAAAGAGATCGTAGACATCTATGATCAAAAACAGACAACCTTTTCATGTCTTCAACTCGTATTGGCCATGTTTCAGAGCCATAGAGAAGGACGGAGCGAACTGCTGAGCAGTACACACGTCCCTTGGTTGATAGTCGGATGTCACGCCTACGCCAGAGGAGGAGAAGGAGTAGAACACGGAAGATCTGCGCAAATGACGATTTCAGATAAGATGTACATAATTTCCCTGTATAAAAATTATTAATTCCAAAGAAATATTCCTTTACCAAGTCTCTTGTCTGTTAGCGTTACAATAATACATTTTTACAGCAGCAAAAAAAGGAATATTTTACAAAGATGTCTCATTAAAAGGTTTTCAAAGCCCCAGATTATAATCAAAGGACTGCTGGTACAACTTAAGCAGAAATTTTCAGTTTATTCAGCATGAGATTTGCTTCTATCAAATGTAAGCCAAGACAATGCTACAGGACTGGACTGAACTACATCGACTTGTGGCTTGAAGATAGGGAGATAATTGGTGGAGCGAGTTGACGCTATTTGAGCCACCAAGGGGCTGATCGCTGACGAAATTTCACCACAGATACAAAACGCTTATAAGGCATTTGCAAGCTAACATTATCTCTGGCGTAAAGTTGATATCCGACCATCAATCAAAGGGGGTGTATACTGTGCCGTAGTTTTTTCAGTCCTTTATTGCTGTAAGACACCGCCACTGAAAGTGGAAGATATGAAGCGGCCAGGTGTCTCTGAACACAGATATTTTGAATGGAGTAACATGATAAGTAATACTGAGGTTAGGCGTAGAGTGTTAGGTAAAGAGGGTAAGCCGATCGATGAGATTGTGATGGTAAATCGATTGAAATGGTTAGAATTCATGTTTCACACGATGCCATACCATCGACTTCCCCCAACGTGCAATGTTAGCCGACATTGGAATACGTTAGAAAACTGTTACAGGAGCTCAAACCAAACCCTGGAATCAGTCCATGAAGCCTCTGATAGTGACCCCCCCCACCCCGCCCAGATATCCAATAGACAGCCATATTTTTCCCATGTTACTATCCTTTCTCCCTGACATTTCAGCTTATTGTAGTTCTTTTGGAATCTCTTGTTCTCCTTTTTTGTCTTCCTTTCTATGCTACATGGAGTAGGGCAACTTGAACTGCTGCATCAGATATAATGGGCAAAGATTCATAGCCCGAGTGGATGATTTCAGTGTGTAGTTTTGTTCACTGATCTGAATAGTGCTGTAAGTTGAGAAGCTTCCATTGCCTTGCTAGACAACAGAACTTCAGTCCTAAGGATTACTTGCAGATTGATATGGACGCAAGCTTCGTCTTATTTCATACTCATCAAGTGCATGCATGTGCTTCTATGATGGTGTTCCTGAGATTCAAGTCTGAAATGACAATATATAAAGCTTGATACCCGTTGCAGAAGATGTATCTCCTGTGTGGCTTAGTAGTTCACTTCATAATATTTTGACGTTTGAAACAATTAGTGCCGCCAGATTCAAATTTCAATGCGAATACCATTCACTTACATTGAGGTGAAAATACATTCAGATGATGACTTTAAAATAAGATAAATCGTGCATCTTGGAGTTTACTGACTGAACTAAAAATGCTCAATTTCAGTTGAATTGTCGGTCCTAGTATAAACGACTTAACGATACTTCAAGGTTTAAGTTTGTTTGAATAACAGTAGCTAGAAGAGCAGTCCAGAAGGTGTACTTCACGCTACTTGGGACTCATCAGTTGACAATCGTACCTATTATGGAGCATTCAACTATCAACTAGCCGACCGACCATGACTTCGAATCCCACTCTATGTGATACGTGCGCTGCTGATTACCGGACGCATGGAATCACCAGAGGTTGTTGTATTGTACGCCGGACCTAGTGAGACAAGGACTCTGTAAAACTTAATGGATAACGCATTGGGGCTCTCAACGATCAAGTGCAGGTACATTCAACTGACCAGTCCCAAAATAAGATTGAAACGCACCACTACCTGGATTCCACTGCTAGCTACTGTCAGTCAACCAAGTAACACACCTATTTCTGTCTATAGAGTTAGTTCTTAAGCCGTTAAAAATAAATACATAAATAAGCCAGTTTGCTGTTTCCACTTTTATTTCACACATTAAAAAGATAAAACCATGATCAATAACGTAGCTACATGAGGCCTGAAATATACAACCTGGTTAATATGGCCAATTAATCTGTCTGTCGCCTTCATTGTTCACCACTTTCACAACACAAATACACACTCACACACACAGAGAGACGCGTGAGAAAAACCACAGATATATAAGCCGCCTAAGTGAATATTTATGTTGGCAGGTTTTAATCAATAACAGACTATGAAAACACATTAGCGCGCACACACACACACGCACAATGGACATTGTACCACTTAGAGTTAAATGCCAATATCAATTAATTTCGAAATAACAGTTCATATAGGCAGCTAGGTAGGTAGGTAGGTAGGTAGGTATAAGTAAGTGATGCAAAGCACCAAGTGCAGTGTAAATTAAATGCTATAACACTAATGAGATATTCAACACATTGTAATACTTGACTACTCAAATAAGCACTATTATTATTATTTATTATTGCATCCTTTAATTCCTAGAGGAACATAGGGCTTCAGCCACACGTCTCCATTGCGTTCGGTTCTCTCCTAGAGTCTTCACCTGGCTCCAAGTCTGCCCAAACGTTTTCATCTCCTCTTCACATGACCTCCTCCTCCAAGTCACCCACCCTTGCACTGACGACCAACTCGCCGATTCCCTTTCGGGTTCCACTCGAGCAATGGCTTGTCTAGTGATGTCACTTGATGGTTTCCTCAGAGTTTGGCCAATCCACCTACTTCCATTTCTTCCTACCTATTTGTTTCACAATCGGTTCCTGTTGTGTTAGTTCGCTCATTGCCAGAGATCTCTGTTGCTGATCTTTTCTGGCCGGTCATCTGATCTTGAGTATTGAGTGAAGACAACTGTTAATGAAGGTCTGTAGTTTGTTTGAGATGCTCTTTATGACGAGCAGTGCAAGTTTCCGATCCGTATAGTAGCACTGACTTCACATTGGAGTTGAAAATCCGGATCAAATAAGCACTAACTGTTATTCACTTCGATTTGGACATTCAAGTTGACTAACTGGACCGAAGTGTTCAGTCTCAGGTTGACATATCGGCTACTAGTGCAGATGCTTCAACGATGCTTGAAGATTTAACTTGATTTTAATTTGGTGGATGGTGACTAGCAGTGGGATTCAGGGTGAGCATTTCACCCTAGTTTAGACTCATCACTTGGATATACCTGCATATTCACCGCAGTGAGCGATGGTGTTCCCACTGAGGATCGAAGCCAATACCCATCGTTTCAAACGCCAAACAGTAATCCACTAAAAACACGTCAACAGTGGTCGAGCACTTCAGTCCAATCAATCAATCGGCGGGAAAGTACAAATTGAATCATGCAGCTTTGTTTATTCCACTTTGATGTCTGTTCATGACTCATATGACTGGACAAGGCTTTTATATATAAGATGTGCCTTTTTATGTATATATATATATATATACCTTTGTTATTTTAATTTTGAATAATTTCCCTGAAGAAGTTCGGACCAGTTTGCCGACAAAACACGTTGGTATTACTTATTTCGATTTCGCTGAGATTTTACCAATATTGTGGTGAGAGCTGTCTGCTAGCTAAAATTGTAGACGTCAGTGTTTACGTCCAGAATCGGGGTCACGAGATAAAACAATAACAAGGCTTAACCTTGACGGGCTAACCAACCAATCACAACCGACTTAGCGTGTGCAAATACGATTAGCAGATATATGGCCTGACCTTCAGCGAGAAAACAACCAATCAGAAGACTCTGTTTCTTTGCTAATAACAATGAATAATAATGTACATAAAAATCCATAAATATCTGTTGATTTTCTCAATAAACGTTCTCTTGCCTGGCGCTTGTCTTCTGTCGTTACAATATAATCTTCACATGAATCCACTTCTCATTCAGCGCCCAATTATTTAGGGATTATTCGATATTCAACACAAATGTCAAGGCGGTCCTTCTATATGGGTCAGAAACTTGGCCAGCGCATCACGTAAAGGATTTCCAACAGGTCACTGCAAACTTTTATCAACAGCTGCCATCGCTCTATACTGAAGATCAAATGGCCAGAAAGAATTGGCAACAAGAAACTCTGGCTGGTAGCAAACCAACCATGAGCCGATCGGTCAACCAATATATGTAGGAGAAAATCGAGATGGATCGAACATACGTTGAAAAGGCCATCGAACGACACTGCGCGTTAGCCAGGCCATCACGCAAGTGAAATTCCTACGGGAAACGACGAGTGGGTCGTCACTTCGACATGGAGGAGATCGTATGAGGAGGAGAGGAGAGACTGTGGGAAACCGTGGTCCAAGCTGAAGAGGATGGTAGAAGGTAGAACAAAGTGATGTGTTGTTGAAGCCCTATGTTCCACTCGGAACTCAAGGGAATAATTATAATAATAACAATTCGATCAAATCCCAATCACAGTTTATATGAATTCTCACAGTGTTCATCAAATAAATTAACTCAGTGATGGAATTATACTCTAGTAGCACTATGCCCGCTTTCTTTTCTCCTTCACTAATCTCAGACATTTTGAAATCCGCAAACTAACATCAGACTCATCTACAATATAATACGCGGAAATTTTACCACAAGAGTACGCATCAAACATTTTTTTGAATTGCAGAATTGATGACAATCCGCATATTAAATCATGCATACAGAAGAAGTTTGTCCAGTGCCTAAACCTAAAATGGGACCACAGTTTGTTTTAATACTTGATGAGTACTTTTTGTCAGTATCAATGTGTTTTTTTTTAAAATTATGCTGTCTTTCCTCTTAGCCCCTTCCTATTACATTTTTACTCCTTATGACGCACTCAGGGGGCTAATAAATTCTAACTAACCAGTTGATAACTAGGCTGAAGTAGACGGAGAGGGACTCGAACCCAGGATATACTGGCTGAGAAATGACTGCTTAAGTCAATGTGACTCAATTTGAGAATGATATCACTGAAAAGAATAAGTAACTCTTCGTTGAACGCCTCTTCTTTTATAAAAGGACTTGGAAATTAAGTCAGTTAGCTCAGGGAAGCTAAACCACACACAAAATTAATCGGTCGGTCGGTCGGTTTTCGACATAGAACTTTGCACATATGTGCAGCAGTTCAAGTCGCCACACTCCCTCCATGTAGCACACAAAGCAAGAGAAGAAAGTAGGAGAAATGCATAATAGAGACAGTAAACAGAGGTGTGAGACAAAGGAATAGTAATAACGAAGAACAAAACAGTTTCATTGGAAATCATAAGTCACAGGGAGTGGATGCATCTGCGCCAGCCATTGAGAACGATTTTGAGCCATGTCACCAATTGTTTCCAACCATCGGTTTTTACCGTCCCGAGGACCCTTGCCAGGAAGTCTACACCTTCCTACGTGGCTGGCTTAGACTAACAGTTGTAGATTTCATTGACTGATGAAGTCATGTTTTCGTTTGACCGCCGCTAGCTCTTTTCCAGTCTGGCCCTATATCAGCTAACATTGCCCGTCGAGGAAGGCGATGACTAGGCATACGTAACACATGTCCTAACCACCTCAGTCAATCAATAGTAATAATAATCATAATAATTGATTAATAATCTTTTACTGTTTATAGAAAAACGCCCAAAGACACACCCCACCCTCGCTCGCGGCATACCTTCAAATATCCAATCACCTTTATTATTATCTGGTCCAATGTAGTATAGTACATAGGTGTCATATCGAATATCACTGTCAGATAAGCATTCACGGAAAAATTTACCAATCCCTCGAAGATACTGTTCAGACAATGGAAGCGGTAGTAGATGGGCATTTGGATTATTATTAGTATGATCATTATCAGCCGGAGGATTTGTGATACTGTCGACTTTATTCACTTGACCTGGTGATGTATAAACACAACCATATTTTTGTATTGAATAATAAGTGAAAAATTTCTCAATCAATAGCATTGAATTCATAAATGGTGCTTTGTCAGAAAACAGTTGATTTGTTATTGAATTTGTGGATGATGATATTATTGGTGTTTCTTGAGAAGGATGATTACTAGAGGAAACGATAACAAAAAACAAAGGACAATAATAATGATACTAAGACACTATATATATAGCAGAAATACTCATTCAGACATTGATAAAACACAAAATAATTGAGCAAAGAATATCCTTTTCGATAATTTCCTCTTCTGGCTCTACAATTATATATACTTATGTTTATATACAGAGAATATTCTAGAAAAGTAGTCAATAACAATATTAGCGTTTTTTCAAATTATATCGATTTGTAAAGTAAGATCTTTGCAATTACAGTTCATTAAAAATGCCTAAATTATAATAATAATAATAATAATAATAATAATAATAATAAAGATGTAATAGCAACTAGAATATCAGCTAAAATTAGAAAAATGCCATAAAAATTGAGGATCATCCGAACCTAGATGGCCAAGGTAAGGATAATGTCCGAACTAGCTTCCTGTGGACGCACAAATCAGGCTTCTTGATGTGGATCCCAACAGCCAGCCTCAGCAATATTTAGTAATCGAACTCTTAAGGCGAAGTTAAGATTTGTTGGTATGCGGTAAGTGACTTTGGAAGCTGCCTCGTTGACATCAATCTTGTGTTCTGTATCCACAAGATGCGATAGAATATCGCTATGAAGGGATTTTGTTTGTCCTTTACTGAACCACTATGCAGGATGATGTTCGGAAATCCGACGAGAAAGACGCCTAATTGTACGGCCTATGTAACTGGCTCCACAGGAGCAGTTAAATTGGTGGATACACGTAGAAGAAGGGAAATTAGGCAGTTTGTCTTTTATTCCCGAACGCAGAAGAGGAGTGGTTTTGAAGATACAGCATAATTCACCAGCAGGGAATGCTCTTTTTACCGCATTTCTAAGGCGCTGTGTTATTATGTCGCTGGTGTTGTCCCCAAGGAACTGCATTTGTAAGAATAAGGCCTTTTTTGGAACTGTTGGTAAATTGGGTTGCTTTGATTTTAGATTCACATTCTTATCAATAAACTTTTCTGGATAACCGTTTTCACTTAGCAACCATTTAATATTATTAAGTTCCTCATCAAGACATTCGTCCGAGCAAATTGCTCCTGCTCTGTGAACCAAGCACTTTATCACACTGCGTTTGTATTTCAAAGGCACGAAGCTGAGAAAATGAGTATACTGACCTGTTGATGTAGGTTTTCTATATACACTTCTTATTGCGCCATCCTCTTTTCTGGTCACGAGAAGGTTTAGAAATGAAATACCAGAGCCTTTTTCTTTCTCAATAGTAAAATTTATTGCAGGATGAACCTCGTTAAATTTATCCAGGATATTTTTTGCTTCCTTTCCATTTTTCATTATCAAAAATGTATCATCCATGTACCGACAATAGAATTCGAGTTCATTAATAACATCTTTCAAAGGCCCATTTTCTAGTTTCGCAAGAAAAATGTCGGCTAGAATGGGTCCTAGTGGTGACCCCATTACCACCCCGTCAATTTGTCTATATAGTTCCTTATTAATTTTCAAGTATTGGTTTTGTAGGGATTTTGTTTCATTGCATGAAGGATTTCATCATGAGCTGACATCAATTAGAGAACCATTGAAAAAGCTGGGAGTACTGTTCCTTATTAAATAAAAAGTGGACATTTTATTGTGCATTTCAAGAGAAGCTCTTTTATAAAAGATATAGGAATGCCAACATCGATGTTTCGTCTTATGAGTTCTTCGCATACAAAGTGCCTCATATTTATAAATGGCACTTCTTGATTACTCTGGAACCAGTGTGGAGATCTCTTGTACTCAAGATAAGGAACAACATCCAGATCTTCAACACCAGAGAATTGGTGCCTGTTATGAGAAGCGTTTTCGACAGGTTTACTGCAGACTTTGACGTCAACTTCAGCTGCCTGTTTTGTTAACTCAATACTGAAGATCAGATGGCCTGCTAGAAAGGTTAACAAGCACCGAAGAACCCCGGAACTCATCCATCAGTCAACAAATACGCAATAGAAAATAGAGATAGATTAGACGTACGCACACACACACACAAACACACGCTGAAGAGACTGTCAAGTAACATCACACTCAAGGAAAAACACTCGAGTGGAAAGCGAGTGGGTAGCAATGAGTTCAGTGTCCATCAGGGATATATGGAGGAGATCGTGTGAGAGGAAATTGAAAGCTATTGGGAAATTGTGAAGCCGGATAAAAAGCAATGGAGAGGTTCTGTTGGAGGCTTAATATCCCACCCACAACCCAGAAGGAATAATACAAATAAATAATAATAATAGTAACAAATAATAAATATATATTTAAGAAAATACACTGTTAAGTGTTCTATAAAGAGTACCTATCCAACTTGATAAATAATAGTAATAATAACAAATGAACTTTGATCTACTCAAGTCAATATTTCATGTGCACAACAACAACAACAAAATCAATGACTCAACAAAAACTAATTGTATTTACAAATCAGATTTATAATTTGAAAATTGATCAATAAATTTACAATTTACACACTTCGGAGTGGTGCGAAGTATTTCATCGTGGTGTTCTTTAGAAACCAAGTTATTCTTATCACGATCTATGATCCAATTGATATCATAAATGGTAATCAAGCATAAATGAACAAATTGTTTTGTTTTAAAGGCTCCACAGGATTGATCCTTTAACCGACAAAGCTTGTTTCTAATTGAGTTTGTGGGTTTGAATACCAGCCACTTGTATTCCTGCCTTGATAAGAATTCTGCGTATGGTTTCCGAGGTTCCTTCATTGTATAGAATTACTACTGATGATTTAGATTCCTTATTGTTGAGGTTGTCTTGTGCATATTTGACATGTATGTCGTCATTAATATTATTACTATTGTCACTATCACTACTATCATTATTTATTTTATTTTTACATTTCCCTACATACTTTCTGGCTAATTTATCAGGGTAATTATTAAGTTTCAAGGCTTCCATTATATGCCTCACTTCCTGTCTTAGATTTTCTTTGGTACTACTTAGTTTTTGTGCTCTGTCACTTAAACATTTCACCAATCCTATTTTCACGTACATAGGATGGGATGATGGGAAGTCCAAATATCTGTTTGATTGTGTGAGTTTCCTGTAAACACTAGTGTTTAACCTCTCATTTTTTTTCCTTTTTACGCTACAGTCTAACATTGGTAGTTCCCCTTCCTGACTTTCCACTTCATAAGTGTATTGAACTGCCTCCACCTTTGAGTTAATGTGTTCGAAAAATCTATCTATGTCTTGTGTTCTAAGTAAAGTGGATGTGTCATCTACATACCTCCACCATACTTTGGCAGATATATTCATGGATAGGTGGGAAAACATAGCGATTGAAACGTTCACTCCCCCCCCCCCGACGTCTTAGACAATACAGTCTATTTAGGCCTTCTACCAGTAGATCAATGACAATCTCCTTCACCAGTATACTGTTATTACATAGAAACTGTGTATGAAAATGCCTTACTGTTATTAAAGATTATTATTATTACTATTGTTCCCTTGGGTTCCAAGTGGGACATAGAACTTCGACAGCATATCTCCATTTTTTTCCTAATTTCCACGATCCTCTTTAGCTGAATCCCACGATTGCCCATAATCTCTCATCTCATCTTCGCCACACGATCTCCTCTTCATGTATCCCTCAGACCCATAACCAACTCGTCGTTTCCCACTTAGGTGCCACTCGAGTGATGACCTGGTTAACGCGCGATGTCATTCAGCGGTCTCCTCAGTGTGCACCCTATCCAAGAGGTTTGTCCCCGTAGTTTCTTGTTGCTAATTCTTTCTGGCCATTTGATCTTCAATACAGACAGTGAAGACAGCTGTTGATGAAAGTTTGCAACCTGTTGGAAATGCTTTTCGTGATGAGACATGCTTCTGATCCATGCAGAAGAACTGGCTTTACATCCATTTTGCAAATCCTCGCCTGGTTTACTAGCTCACTAGTTTTCTAGCCGGTTCAGAGCCCAGGAAAAGAGGGCGGGGGTTGTTCGTGGGGCTAGCGACCCTAGCCTAAAAAATCAGTCAATCAAACTGCTACAAAAACTTCAATGCACAAGACAAATATTAAAAATGCAAAAAATATTTTTTTTAAATTATTCTTCGCTGGAATCAGGAAGCCAGTCAGCCAGCCAATGTGTCTTCTCTTGATGAAAGTAAGAAAAAGAATGAGGACATAGAATGTCCTTACAACGTACGAGACTGACTAGGAAGGCTACCCAGGTAGTCATAGAAATGAGAAGATATGGTATAGAAGTGCTCGGAATCTGCAAGAGCAGATGGAATGGATGTGGAATGTTATTCAAGAGATGAAATGAAATTTCACTTATCACTCACTCACAAACACACATGCACAAAATGATGCATATATGACAATAAACTACAATTAGAAGCTTTCATGCCTCTGAGTTTTGAGTGGAACATAGAGCTTCAAGCTTAGAAGTATTAATAGCGATGGCGTTGCTTTTACGGCGTAAATTTGTTAACTTCACGACAAACCTTCCCTCTCTACCGGGTTCACTATCTCCCAGGTGAGGTTTAGGGGCACGTCGATCGGTGAATAGAAACTTCACAACATGCGTGGTCGACAGGTATTCTACTGTAGAACCACAGACATTCTCAATTCGTTAGCTAGTTAGTTAGAACCCAGTTACTCGAACTATGAGCCACACGCTTATTGTGTATACTACCCAGTTACCTATGCTGAACAACGGAGTGGAGTAAGACTCGAACCCCAGACAACATGACCTGCACAAATCTGTACTGCGTCGAATGGTGGGTGATAGCACCACCCTGCTACCACCCAATTCTAGGTGTTTTCGCATAAGGTGTAGCAAGCACCACAAAAAAGGATATTCCAGCTGAGTAACAGCCAAATGTAATATCGGAAATTATTACAATCACCTCTAAAACACACACACACAATAAAAAATCACATAAGACTATGGAACAACATCAACAACCTGAGGAAATTCAAAATTGCAATTGACCATCACTATTCTATGCTGTCAATCTGAAAATCTTCGTCACTCAGCATCAACAACAAAATTCGGATTTTCAATACAAACGTCAAGTCAGTCCTTCTATACGGTTCAGAAACTTGGCGGCAGGTCACAAAGAATATTTCCAACAGCCTGTTCCAGACCTTTATCAACAACTGTCTTCGCTCTATGCTGAAGATCAGATGGCCGGAAAGAATCACCAACAAGGAACTATGGGAACAAACAAAACAAGAACCAATCGCCCAACAAATATGCAGGAGAAAGTGGAGATGGATTGGAAACTCACTGAGGAGAACGCTGGGTGACATCGCGCGTCAGGCCAGTGCTCGAGTGGAACCCGAAAGAGAAGTGGAGACGTGTAGTTGAAGCCCTATGTTCCACTAGGAACCCAAGGGAACAATAATAATAATAATAATTGTATGCTGTCAATTAGGCGGTAACGAGAAGAAGGTCAACTTATTTCGGTGAAATCTCGTTTGTGGCATAAGTCACCCTACGCATGAAAACACCTTGCGAGTACTTTTACCCCTACTTATCTAAATGTATTTATATACATATATTTTGTAAAAAGGCGGAGAAACAGGCAAATAAACAAACAACTCACCTATTGAACGTTGAAAATTGATGACATAAAGCATAACCAATAGCACTTGGACCTGTTGTTTTACTAAGATGATAAAATATGCTGACAAGGTAACAATCCATTAAAAATGATAACTGTAATAAAGGCATGAATTCTGATTTAACTGGTTTAAATGAACCACTTAGATAAAGAACACTGATTATAATAATAAAAATGATAGTTATCAAAATTGAAAAAATCATATTGGATTTTGATATTAAAGCCAAGTAGCGGGCACCAAGTGATGCCCATACACGATTTTGTCCTAAATCAAAAAGAGGTAGAGAGAGAGAGAGAAAATATGAATAAAAGATTATCGATCAATACAGGAAGTCTCTTTTAACAAAACAAAAACAGAACACATTTCATATAAGAATTGCAAGAGTGAAGTACCAAAGTAAAATATCGATTCTACTTTGTGTGTGTGTGTGTATGCACAACGGTGGTTCGATGGTAGAATCCCTAACAGCCACTCAAGTGATACGGATCGAATTCCCGGTTGATGTCTACTGGTCTAAACCTCGCCTAGAAGGTAAAATAAGCCGAGTACAGACTGGAGGCTGGTTATGAGGCTAGCAGTCCTACTGTGTAAAAACACCGCCATTGCAGCTTCAAAACTTCAACTTAAAACACAAAACAATGAGAAGAAAGAGAAGTACATTGTAGGATTAGGGATTCAAGATAGAAGTAGCAGTCATAGCGTCATAATTCTATTGATTGATCTGGAAGAGATCTAATCAATATTCAAATCCAAAATTTCATTTCAAACAAACTAGGCACTATATTTTTCTGTCTTCAACTAGCAAGGAGATTAGATATCATCTAATTCTCTTTAATTATTATTGTTTTCTTTAGTTCCTAGAGGAATATAGGGCTTCAGCCGGACGTCTCCATTGCGTTCGGTTCTCTGCCAACGTTTTCACCTGGCTCCACATCTGCCCACATGCTTTCATCTCTATTTCACATGACCTCCTCCTCCATGTCACCCCACCCTCGCACTGACGACCAATTAGCCGCTTCCCGTTCTAGTTCCACTTGAGCAATGGCCTGGCGTGTGGTGTCACTTGGTGGTTTGCTTTCTCAGTGTATGGCCAATCCACCTCCATTTCTTCCTGCACAATTTTCGCACAATCGGTTCCTCCTGGGTTGGTTCGCTCATTGCCAGAGATCCCTGCTCCCGATCTTTTCTGGCCATGTGATCTTGAGTATTAAGCGTGCAGTCATAGTATCAGGTTTTCTCTCTGATATTTTCATATGTATCTTTATGAAACTAATCGGATAGCCCATCTCCGTCAATTGCACAATTTATATTCACCATCTTATTATCCTATAGACAAAACACCATGATTGGTTTTTATTTGAAAAAGAGAAGACATTCAGCGAAGAGACTCTTTTCGGCGAATTCATTCACATAGCTGTACAATCGCATTTATATATAATTATTTGTGTGTGTGTGTACATGAGGTTTTTCAAGTTTAGATAATTGATTAGTTAATACAAGAATGACAAAGTTAATCAGACAGCAACTAAAGTAAGATTGAGTTAGTAAGCTAGGTGACGTAATATAATTGGCTAAAATGTTACAACTTAGGTCAGGATAGCAACAGAGGTAATTACAGGTAGAGATTAAGTAGAAGTGAAATTGAGTAAATAAGTTGGATGACGTAACATAAATGATTAAAAACTGAGCGTTGTTCAAGTCAGTAACAGTGGTAGTGAGGTGTAGAAATTGAATCGGGTGGGGTTAGAGAACAAGAAAGTTGAAAATGTAAAATATTACAAGTGAGAAGACAAAATAATACTAATGAAGAGACAGAATAAGAGATTAGGTAGAATTTACTTGTCGGCTAATAAGATAGATTACGTCCATTGCAAGTGTAGTGATTGAATGAACTTCTGTATGCAAAGTTCAGGACTTAGCAAGTGAATCGCCATTGCTTCTGCAGTTTGAAGAAGTCTGATTCGTACACCTTTAGGAAGACTACTTCTTACTCTGTAGACGAAGTTTGTTTGCGGTGTAGCTTGGTGTCCGGATTCTATCAGATGTTCTAAGATGGAACTGCGGGGGCATCGATTTCCTCCTTTGTAAAACCATGTTGGTAAGTGCTCGGTGATACGTTTGGAATGCGAGCGCTGGGTACGGCCAACATACGTGGCTCCACACGAGCAGGTGAATTGATAAATGCACATTGATGAGGCCAGCAGCGGTAGCTTATCCTTCACGTTCACATGAATCATAGGTTTTGTGGAGAAGGTTAGTCGTAGTTCAGCTGCGAAGAAGGTCTTCTTAAGTGAGCGCGACAGTCGACTTTTTAGTGTTTCCGCAGATAAGTCTCCATTGAATTGAAGGTTCATGTAGTGTAGTTTTTTCGAGACGCTATTTGTAAAGTAATGGAAGTATATTAGAGTTAAGCCTGATGAGATCTAATTGAAAGCACAATACTGTTCGCTTAAATGTGTTGTTCTAAATTTTACTATGGGAATATTTAATATATATATACAAACCAGATAAACAGAACTTACCATTATGTTGTAATGGTATGCTATGCGTTGCACGATCACTACGCTGAATTATTCTGCCTAATCGTAAAAGACACAAGCAACAAATAGCATGTTGAATAATCCATTCACAGATAAAGACACCATAGATTAAACCTGTTGAAAATTTATCCCATGTCAATGAATTCATCAAGGTTATAATAAAAATCAATTGAATGATAATATAAACACAAGATAAGCATAAATACAATCGTATAGATACATGCTTGTATAAATGATAAGTAAATTTAAATCTTTTAAATAATGGACAAGTAATAAAATAAGATGCACAGATAAGTATGTAAGTAAGCAATATAAAGCCATGAATTAAAATGTAAAATGCAATTGTATTTGAGTGTATTCTTGATATAGGTATATCATTATCTATACTCGTATTTTTACGATTATCTGGTAAATAATTAAAAATAGAATTACACAAAAGGCCAACTAAAGAGACTATACTTAAAGAAACAAGCGCGCAACGTTGTTCATTCAGTAAAACAAAATGAATAACTATTGAAATATTGAACAATATTAATGTTAAGCATGATGAGCTTGAGGATAATGATTGTGCATTAATGTTATTATTATTATTATTATAACGAATATGAAAGAATGAACCAAATAAAAATCCAAACCATAGCGAAATTCCTTCATTAAAATGTTTAAAATAATTATTATTCATCATTAACATCAATACTGGGCATAATATTCCACTGGTCAGTGTTAACAAATCTCCCACAAACATACTTACCTCAGTAGTTGATTCTGCTTGTAAACTTTCATTCGATATATCGTGTTGATTGATTAAAAGTGTATTCAACAGAACACCACAGAGTAAAAATAACAATGATGATGGGGAACATAAAAGTTTAAAATTGATTGAACATTGAATAGATGCTAGTAGACGCTTTAAAATCAATGATAATAATACTGTAAGCGGTAGAGAACAGATTGCAGAATAAAAGTGTATTGAAGAAATGAAATCATGCGTATAGCCGGTGTATAAATAACAAATAATACCAGATAAGAGAAGAAATAAAATAATTAGAGGAAAAGAAGAAGAAAAAGAAGGAAACGTTGAATAAGCTGGTCTCATCATTACCATTACTAGTATTATTATTATTATTATTACTACTTAACACAACGGATCAGTCGATAGTCAGTCAAGTTACAATTTCGATTAACAATCACAAATGAAATCTGAAACAAAAGAAAGAAAAAAAAATAAAATTGGAAAAACGCATTACAAAATATGCACAAATGGCAATGAGTAGCATTCACAATGCCACCATTTTTAAATTCGTTACCGTGGTTTGTATTTTTGTATGTATGTATTCCATTATGGTCGGTGGTATAGCGGCTAGGACGCTCGCCGACCATGCACATGGTCCGGGGTTCGATCCCCGGTCGACAAGGCACTCCTTTACCAAGCTAAGCCAGAAATAATGCTGGTGAAGAGGAAAGGTTGGGCATGGGGCTAGCAACCCCATCCTGTAAAAATTAAACACTGCTACAGAAACTTCAAGCCACTAGCTTGAAGCCCTATGTTCCCCTGGGGAACGTGAAGGAAAAACAAAATGTATGTATTCCATTATGGGTAAATTTTGTTTTGATTAAGTCTCATAGTGTTATACAGTAATGTTTACTGATGACGTTTCGAGCACAATTTATTGCTCATAATCATTTCAAGGCACTAATCACACGACTTCCTAAATTCATTTATATAGTTCCATTGTTTTTCACTTGATTTGATTGGTAGTAATATTTTCCATATTTCGGGTATGAGTGATGAATCATTCCTATTGCATGTGTTGGGTGTAGATTCGATGAACAACCCAATACACGCAATAGGAATGATTCATCACTCATACCCGAAATATGGAAAATATAACTACCAATCAAATCAAGTGAAAAACAACGGAACTATATAAATGAATTTAGGAAGTCGTGTGATTACCTTGATATGATTATGAGCACTAATAAACTGTGCTCGAAACGTAGTCATCAGTAAACATTACTGTAGAACACTGTGAAACTTTATCAAAACAAAATTTACCTATAACGGAATTACACTCTACCACAGTACACAAGTTTTATTCTTATATCAATGGTATGTATGTATATGTATGATGAGAATTGGCAGAAGTTAGAATTCACCAGCCACTGCCACTGGGATTCCCACCTTCTTACAACTCAGTGGCTGAATAGTCACGGCGGTCGCCTTCTGCCAACCCTCAACTCCTGGGTTCAATCTACAATGGAGTTATGAGTACTAGTCGGAAGAGTCTCAAGCTAGGACGAAATATAATACTTCCTGGTTCTCAAAGTATCGGTTTGTAGTTTAACTTGAAATCAATTAAATCCTTAGAGAAATAACATTTGAAAATAATGCATAAAACATGCATGAACTGGCAGCAAAAAAACACAAACCTGAGTTTAACAAGTATTAAAGAGGCTCTAACAGAAATAAGTAGCGTGTTTGAATCCATGAGGTCACATAAATGACTGATAACTGGCCGTAGATAAAAAAAAGGCAGGGGAATTTCAACTTTCATAGCACTTAATTATATGCGTGTATACAGGTGAACTAACAGTGATCTGCTTGAATCATAGGGCTAAAAGAAATGAAGATGGAGTGGGCACATGCTAAGGACACCAATGAGTAACATCACACGCCAGGCTGGCTTGAATGAGAAGCAATATGTTGGGAGTAGGTTCGATTGTGACATGGAGGACACCATGTGCGGGTGTCTGTATGTGGGGGGGGGGGGAGTGACAGCTCTTTGGCAATTGTGGAGCCAGCTAAAAAAAACTGTAGAGAACAAGATGAAGTGGAGATGAGCTACTAAAGTCCCATGTCTCATTCGGTCGGTCGGTCTTCGACATAGAACTTTGCACATATGTGCAGCAGTTCAAGTCGCCACACTCCATGTAACACACAAAGCAAGAGAAGAAAGTAGGAGAAAGGCGTAATAGAGACAGTAAACAGAGGTGTGAGACAAAGGAATAGTAATAATGAAGAACAAAACAGTTTAATTGGAAATCATACGTCACAAGGAGTGGATGCATCTGCGCCACTGAGAACGATTTTGAGCCATGTCACCAATTGTTTCCAACCATTGGTTTTTACCATCCCGAGGGCCCCAACCAGGAAGTCTACATCTTCCTACGTGGCTTAGACTAACTTTTGTGGATTTCATTGACTGGTCCCATGTTTCGTTTGACCACCGCTAGCTCTTTTCCAGCTTGGCTCTATATCAGCTAACACTGCCCGTCGAGGAAGGCGATGACTAGGCATACGTAACACATGTCCCAACCATCTCAGTCGATGTAATTTCACAGTCTCGTCTACTGATTTCCCCGCCTTACCTAGCACTCAACTGAGGCCTAACCTCAATATTGCTCACCTTATTATACCACTTCACGCGGGAGATAGAACGTAGACACCTATGATCGAACACAGATAATCTTTTCATGTCTCATTTGGAACTCAGGGATTAGTAGTAATAATAATAGTAACAAATTCTCTATCTAACACATTATTTTACTCATTCAAATTACGTTCTCAAATAGTTTACAACATACCATTATTCATCAGTCTTGGAAGCGAAATTAAGAAGTAGGGCGAAGACAGGTTTCAAGGTGCTTTCGATACAATATACTATGCATCAAACAACATATTGCAGATTATTACTTTTGAAAATTGAAAATTCAGTACAAATAGTAAGCGATTTGCAATAAACACACGCACACACCAAAAACTTTGAAGTATACAAGACTGATGCTTAACATAAAGCCACTATTTTATAAGCCAGATAATGCTTTAGTGTTGAAGAACCATAACTTCTCAACACTGACTGACTAACTGATCGAGTTTCAACATAGAACTTTGCAGCCGCCGTTCAAGTTGCCACACTTCATAAAGATTGAGAAAAGACAGAAATCTACGCTACTGACAACGGTTATGAGCTATTTGGTTCTTAGAGATATGACAACCTCAACCAGACTGTCTAGACCTCTTTAATACGCCTCAGACTAATAGTCGAAGGCTTCATATTCTCATTTGACTACTCCTGAGGCTTTTCCAATTTAATCTTCTATCAGCTATCAGTGCTCGACGAGAAAGGTAGTGGCACGCCAGGTATAACTTGTGTCCTCACCATTTCAACCGATGTAACTTCACAACTCTATCAATTGACTTTTCCTCCTCACCAGACACTCTACGCCTAACTTTAATATTATGTATTTACTTACTTACTTATTCAAACGGGGGTTTGATAGGAATGCACAATTAAAGAATTCCAAGTATTAGATGAATAAAACAATAATAATTATGCGATGAAGATGAGTTATAGTAATCGTGATCATGAGGTTAACAGTTAGTGCTGAAAATACCGTTACCATCCTATTATTAATCATCATCCCATGTGGCCTACTGACTACAATCAAAATTCACATTAAACAAAATAAACACTATCCGTTAACCAGACAAACTCCCTATCAAATCCTACTTTTTTCAGATAGGTGCCCACTACTTCGTTGGTGGCACAGCGGTTAGGACTCTCGCCGACCATGCACATGGTCCGAGGTTCGATCCCCCGCCGACGCACACCTGATATCTATGGTCGGCCTGCTAAATTTGGGCTACCGATATCGCATACTGAAAATTTCATACTTGTACCAAAATACTGTGTGGAATCAAGCTATAATAAAATAAAAATAAAAAAATACTTGTGCTGTGTGTCATACATTTACATTGCAATATACTTCTTGATTATCAGTATTGTAACACATAAATATCTGTCTGTCTCTCTTGCCCTGAATGCATGTTCCAGCATAATCATGGATATCATCTCACTGACTAGTTGCGGTCAAAGAAATCTACCACAAAATTATCGTAATGGGGTATGTGTGTGAATAATTGGCGAATACACCGCCTGTCTAAACTATTCGCATCGCAATCGAATACCTCACAAACTGTACACCTGCATTATATAACACTACGAAAATTGTATAGGTAGTGTATGAGCCTCGCAAAGATTACTGTGTTTAATGTGTTCAATCAATTATGTTCTCACTACATTGTCTGCTATGTGAATGATGACAGCGTCTTCTCATAAGTTGATTCTAATAGAAACTAACATAGAATGCAATATATTAGCTGTACATTCAGTGAAACAGAAAATAACTACATCTCCCCCTTATAGCTTATTCGTAAGCAACCACCTCATTACTCATGTAAGCGTTTAGTACTCGGAACAGATCATAAGACCCTTCAATATATCTATAAACTCAAGATAACACGACGTCAGACCTATATATGCCAGGAATTTTCACAACGATATGAATATATACGCGGGAACCAACCTCGTAAACAACATATGCTGACGTATTATCTCAGCAAAACAAACGACACCGCTTACAGGGAATATAGATTCTGTGAGGGAGAAATAAAATGAGACTACTATTAGCATCTATGCATAACATTCTTCTACAAATACTCATGTCATTTAAACATTATTAAAAGGCGACACACCAGTGACATTTCCACTTCTATGTGCATATATCAGTTCACCTGCTGCTGTGGAGCCAGCTAGGTACATCGGTCGTTCAACGCGCACCCTGTCCAAGAGGATTCAAGAACACTATTCAGCATGGTTGCGAAAAGGCAATAGTGGTGCAATAAGGAATGCGATAATTGAACACCTGGTTAACAGTGATCATTCCATCCCAACAGACGCCTCCTTCAAAGTAATCTACAGAGTCAAGAACAACCTATCAAAGTCAATACGGCTTCGTCTTCTTTGTATCACTGAAGCTCTAGCCATTCACATATAAAAACCACAGCTGTACATACAAAAGAGGATTACTCAACCACTTCTACTGTCTTGGTAACAACTTTTTTTATTTTTATTTTGATGACTTAATTTTGTTTCTTTGCCTATTCTTTAATTGCTTATCATTCTTGTATTCATTTAGAACTCTTATGTAATTTCGTATTATCTACTTTGTCCCTATGTGCATCACTCATCAAACTATTCATATTATTACATAACTCCTTTTTAACAACTGTTTGTGACAACTCATCACCTTTTTTACTACCCTAATTTAATTAACACCTAATTTTCTTGACTGATTTTGTATTACGTAACTCCGATTACCAATCTTCACCCGTTTAGTCAAAATAACCATAACCAATTGTAATTTTGTTTGACAAACTTAATGTACACATACATACAATATAACACATATATATTTGCGATTGTACAGCTAAGAAAATGAATTCGCCGAAAAGAGACTCTTCGCTGATCTACGTGTTTTGTTTTCATTAATGCCAGAATTAATTGTCTTATTTTTATCGTAAGTGTTATCTACCTCTCGGCTCATCTGTTGCATTACTTTGTCTCTCAAGTCATTCAGATTATTCTGCTTAGCAGCATCCACGGCCGTATCAAATTCTGTACAGTTACTTACCAACTTCGCCTTAATATACGTCTGACCATAAATTGACTCATATGCGCCTTACTTTCCATTGTTTCATAGGAAATGAAACTCTTAGACTCTACTTTCTTGATGATGCCGTGTAGAGCGTAACGTACACCAAAACTGAGCTTCAAAATGCAGTTGAGCACGTTACGCATAGATCTCTTCGCCCTGTGCAATACAAACAATCCCAGTTCCGCAAAGCATATGTGGTAAAAAGAAAAAGTCCATTATGGATAAGATTTTATTTTGATAAATCACACAGTGTTGTACAGTAATATTAACTGATGACAACTCGAGCATAAACTATTGCTCATGATCATATCAAGTTAATATTACTGTACAACACTGTGTGATTTACCAAAATAAAATCTTATCCACAATGGAGTTATGCCCTACCACAGTGCCCAAGTTTTATGCTTACATCAAAAAGAAAAAGGATGAATTGCGAAGTTTCCTTTTCTCTTTTGATCTTTAGAAGACTCATCAAAATGAAACAACAGGAAACCGTATTTGTAAGGAATCACTTGAGGATAATAAATTTACCCTAGATGAAACCAGCAGATTGTATGTCGCACATAGCTCGGTCAGTATCCTTGGATCTTCATCACATACTTCTGAAGGGACATAGTGGAGGTGTTAAGGAAACAACATCCCACCATATCTCTAAATTCGTGGAAATGGCTGTCGAAAACATTTTCGTAAATAGCATATAACGACAACAGATCATAAATTTAAATATTCCAATTATGATAATTATAGGTCACAATTTAAGCAATTATATATTTTTGCTAAATTCGCATCAGGCTTTATAATCATACGATATAATATCAGCCATAGACATTTGAAACAATGTCGTTGATAGAATCAAAGTTCAGGGATGTGAATTAGTGGAAAACAATTGAGGTGAACATAGTAATAATATTGATGATAATAATAATAACGGTAAATTCACTCGTGTTCATATAATCTAGTTCCTCCTGAGTTCGCTTCGCGATTGCTCCTTAGCTCTCATATTTTCCTCAGGAGTAAAACAAGACTGCTGACTACTATCGATGTTATTTCTGACTATGGAGGCAAGACAACAGAACTACGTTTGGCAAACAAGAAGACTCTACAAGATTCGGACATCACGGACGGCATATGTCTAATGTCACACAAACTCGAAGACTTGGAGGCGGAAACCAACAAGCTGGCAGAAGAAGTAGAAAAGACAAGACTTTAAGTGAACATGGAGAAGAGGGTGATGAAAATAACCAGCTAGTGACAACAAGCATTATCACTGTCAACAGGAGAAATATGGGGGCGGTCACTTCCTTCACTTATCCAGCCTTGAAGCATAGTTTCGACTAAATGCAGCACGAGTGAGCGTGTCAAAAGAAGAATCGAAAAAGTGAAACAGACCTTCATCACACTGAAATCAGTAATCAGCATGAACTGCAAAATTGACATTTCCAACAAAAATATTAAGTCAATTCCTCTATATGTGTGGGAAACTTGGCGTGTCATAAAAAGCATTTCCAACACGCTTCAGATTTTTATGAACGGTGGTCTTCGCTCTGTGCTGAAGACCAAATGGTCAAAAAGTGTTATAAAAAAAGAAGTCTGGAGACGAACCAACCAAGAACCCATTGCTCATGGAGATGGATCGTATACACGAGGAGAAAACCACTGAGTGACATCGTGCGGCATGACCTCGAGTGAAACCCAAATGAGAAAAGACGAAGTGGGCACCTAAGTGTGACATGGAAGAAATGGTATAAGGAAGAGATGAGAGTTTAGGAGCAATTGCGAAGCGAACTCAGGAGGAACTAGATTATATGAACACGAGTGAATTTACCGTTATTATTATCATCATCAATATTATTACTATGTTCACCTCAATTGTTTTCCACTAATTCACATCCCTGAACTTTGATTCTATCAACGACATTGTTTCAAATGTCTATGGCTGATATTATATCGTATGATTATAAAGCCTGATGCGAATTTAGCAAAAATATATAATTGCTTAAATTGTGACCTATAATTATCATAATTGGAATATTTAAATTTATGATCTGTTGTCGTTATATGCTATTTACGAAAATGTTTTCGACAGCCCTTTCCACGAATTTAGAGATATGGTGGGATGTTGTTTCCTTAACACCTCCACTATGTCCCTTCAGAAGTATGTGATGAAGATCCAAGGATACTGACCGAGCTATGTGCGACATACAATCTGCTGGTTTCATCTAGGGTAAATTTATTATCCTCAATTGATTCCTTACAAATACGGTTTCCTGTTGTTTCATTTTGATGAGTCTTCTAAATATCAAAAGGGAAAAGACAACTTCGCAATTCGTCCTCTTTCTTTTTACCACATGTGCGTTACGGAACTGGGATTGTTTGTATTGGACAGGGCGAAGAGATCTATGCGTAACGTGCCCAACTGCATTTTGAAGCCCAATCTTGGTGTACGTTACGCTCTACACGAGATCATATATATATATATATATATATATATACTGCAACAGTGAATAATATGCACCAAAGTCAAGTGACTTTGAATCAACCATTAAGATGGCTCGGCATTACACATGGATAACTCCATTATGGATAAGATTTCATTTTGATAAATCACACAGTGTTGTACAGTAATATTAACTGATGACCACCTTTCGAGCACAAACTATTGCTCATAATCTTATCAAGTTACTCGCACAACTTCTTTCCTTCATTTATATACATGTGTGGAATCGATTAGATAGTGGAATAAAATTCAATCAGATAATGTACATTCAGGAATAATAATACGACTGTTATTGATCAATTACAATTAGATGGGAAATAGAACGAGTGTTTCTATAGTCACAATAAGTTACTTGTTGGAATGTCTTTTATGTGTTTGAATTGAAACATAAGTTTATGATTATTTATTATCCTCCCCTGATTTGACTGGCGGAGGATAATAAATAATCATAAAATTCTTATATATAAGTGGAACTCATTCAAATTCTATCGGAGGATTCTGGGTTCACCTAAAATATGTATTGTAATAGTAAATCATATATGTCCATAGACACTCCTATGAGAAACTGGGACCAGTTTCTACAGCATCTTATTAGATGCTGATAAGAGATACATACCTTGTATACTTCAGTTTTATTACAAATATGTCTTAAAATGCACTTTTTTGAATAAATGTCACTTTTCACCCAGAAGACTATAATTGGTAGATTCATGGTCATTTAACTTTGGTGTCTATTTTTTACTGTATATGTATATATATATATTCACTAGAATTCACAAACGAATTGGATCCTTTTATTTTGACTCACCTGGCACACAATTGCTCAGTTCCATTATTTGGATTATCAAAACAAGGTTGGTGAGCAAAATCTGGCACACTTAAGTCCCTCTCAGCTGGTACGACTGCCAGCGTATCGTAACAATTTGTAATTTCGCATACTTTCGGTTGGATTTCAATATACAATATCTGCGTATGTTCCATTTTTGGCACTAGTTACAGGGTTTTGTAGTTTAAAGGGTGACAATTGTACCCAAAGTCCTCTACTCATTCCTCTTTACTATGAAGTGAGATTGTCAGCTTATACCCAGGATGTGGAATTTCCATGTGATTTCAATGATCTCGGAGATAGTGTGTCAGCATATGTCATCCTCCATGTTGATGCCAGCATTCAGTTTCATACTGCTGAGGGAACTTATGGAATAAAGCTGTTTGACCTAATGGAACATTCATTACCTAAAAACACTGAAGGGCTTTATTAACTGTTCTGAGTACTGAACTTTAACGTGTGACGTGAGTTATTCAGGAATAAGTGATGAAAAAACCAAGATTTCTTCCCGGAAATGCACTAGTTATCTCTTTTCACCTGAATGTACAACTATAGTATTCCACACCATGCTTTGTACTATCAGCTTCATCACGAGATGAGATAATTTCAAAAGTCTAGTAGAGGCATCACTACCTAGGACGTACTTACCAGGCGTGAGGGTTGCACTGGTGAAGCCAAGAGAAACGTGGAGTACCATTAATCTATCAGTAGTGGAAATGGTCTAACGTCTACATTCAAGGAACATCCTTCACAGCCGAGTCAACAAGCTGAAAAATTCGGTATGATTCTTCGAGAGGCATAGATACTTTGTGGGAGATCAAGAAGGTTGGTAAAATCACTGGTAAAACAGCTTACTATCCCTTTTAAACGTTGTACTTACCTCAATATTGGTTGGTTATCGTATGCCTACAACTACGGGTTGAAAACGAAATGAAGTCGATTTTCCTGTGCAACCTGGAGGACTACTGTTTAATTCAATAATGATACGACATGGGTCAGACAAAGAGTGTATTTATACATATATCAAATATTTAACTGTTCAAACATTACTAACTTGTAGACAATCTACTATTTGACATTATATCATACTTGATCGTGCCTGTAAAAATGGCATGCATTTTCATGTAAATTTATGTTTATATGAAAATATAAATTATTATTATTACTATTATTGGAAGTCTCACCGTTGAAGAATAATTTGTTTATCTACGCTGATTTAAACACATAGTAGTCAATTGGTGTTTCAAGAGAAAAGAGCAGGTCGACTACGTTGTGCTGTGATTGTGTATTTCAATTTTGTCTTCATATCATCGTTGGTAAGTATACCTTTAAGCAGCCGCAAGTGTTATATTCTTCCTTCACTGAATGGGGCGGTATTATGAGCAGGTCAGGTAGGCCAGGCTAGAGAGTCAGCAGGTAATGTGGCCGAAGATCAGGACTAGCAGAACATATGATCACACTCAATTGTGAGAGTTCCTTTTCAGTTACAGCCAACAGGAAAAAAGCACTAAGTAATTCAAGCAGCATAACCAACTGGTTTCCTAGAACTTCTAGGCAACTATGCAGCTCTCTTGAGGAGTTTGTTATAGCCCACTTGGCAAGAATCTTATCTAGGTCACTTCTTATCACATCATGATGCAGAAACACTTAGCATCATGCATATAGCACGCATGATATCGGATCAATTCCTTGCTGGCATAGCGAACAGTTTAATAATAATAATGTATAATGTATAGTTTCATATAAACATAAATTTACATGAAAATGCATGCCATTTTTACAGGCGCGATCAAGTATGATATAATGTCAAATAGTAGATTGTCTACAAGTTAATAATGTTTCAACAGCTAAATATTTGATATATATATATAAATACACTCATTGTCTGACCCAGGTCGTATCATTATTGAATTGAACAGTAGTCCTCCAGGTTGCACGGGAAAATCGACTTCGTTCCGTTTTCAAAGATAGGACAAGGCATATTCTTCGGGAGATAGCTGACACAGTGCTGGAAACAAACGTGGATACTAGCATCTATGATACACCAATATCCAACTGTCACACATGTGTCTCATTGCATACCTTGTCCTAACGACAAACTACCCCCGCCTGAAGTCTTCCTATGATCCAAAGATAATGGTTAGTGAATCGAAAAACATGTGTACGGAGGACAGTCACAGAGTATATTATCAAGATGTTGTCCGCTCACTGAAACCACGTAGCCATTGTTTATCTACTATCCCAGTACATACTAAATCAGTTCTAAGTAAACACTTGACACTAAGTACATTAGCTTCTACATACAAACCACCTTTGATTATGATCATCGAAACCTGGTTCACAAGTGAAATCTCTAATGGCAGCCTAATAATTGATAACTACAAACTTTTCAAGAGGACAGACACATAGGCCGTGGAGGTGGAACACCAATTTACACTGAACAATCCATGTGTGCAACCCAGTTCAGTGAACCAATCTGCTACAACTCAAAGACTCATTCTGGGTCGAAATAAAAGTTGCGAGAAGTAAATCTATATTTGCGGGTTGCGTTTCCCGACCCCCATCATTCAATAAAGAGTATGATAACATACTCAGTAACACTTGATGTTACAGCTAGTCTTCCCTTCACTTATAAAATCAGTGCAGATGGTTTCAACATGCCAGATGTATCCTGGCGTTCACTTCAAGCACCTCCAATATATGATGATCCTTTGGGTTCCATCATCACAGGAGGATGAATGTAACACTTAAATTCACCCACCATACCCGCAAATATCCTAGACCTTATTTTCATGAGCAACATAACACCACCCACAGTGCAGGTGGCACATGAATTTCAAGGTGGTGACCGTAGAATAGCAGCGTAATATTAAGTCAATTCATGATATTATTGCACATGAGAAGATTCTTATCTTCAAATTCACCCAAAGCGATTATATTCCGACAACACTGAGAAGTCTACTAAAGCACTCAATAAAATACTTCTGATATCATGACTATTCATCATTAATTGATCTTACGTCCGTCCTCTCTACAATTTAAGAGTTGAAGGAAACGAATAAATACGAAAAGTTCAGCACCCGCACAACCCAGGAGAAATAGCGAAACTTTTCAAAAGTAGGTTGACAAACTCCAAAACAGCATATCCAAAAATAGTATACTTGGACGGTATTGCTTAGGAGAATACTGAGGTGATACGTGAACTGTTTAGCAGGCGCTTTGCCAGACTATCCATCTTGGAGGTCGTGGATTTACACGTAAAACAGACGAATGCCTAAGTGACATACTTTTCACTACACATAGATCGATAAAGCTGCTTCAAATCTAAAGCTCAGTAACACTCCTGGTCCAGACAATATATCTTCCATCCTGCTGAAAAACAGTGGTAAGGATATGAGTTTACTCCTACTCAAGTTACACTCAATTTCACTAAGCGATAGGACATACCCTACCTGCTGGAAGAAGTCTTATATTGTACCCATTTATAAAAACGGACCTAAAGCTGACATCAACAACTACCGCCTCATCAACATCACGTCCGTATTTTCACATGTAGTGCACACGATAGTAAAGACTCAAATCACTCATTACTTGCTCTCCAATGACCTACTATCCCCATCACAATACAGTTTCTTAAGTAGAGGGTGGTGCATTGCTTGCCATTTAGATTGTCATGACTACAACACACAATGCATAGATAATGGGTATTCAGGAACAGCATTATTTCTCGACGTTAGCAAAGCCTTTGATAAGTTTCCACAAATCAGACTCCTATAAAAACTGCAGTCCTACGGAATAAGTGGAAAGCTTCTTAAGTGAATTCTTCTCTCACAGAAAGAGAGCAATTAGTTAAAATCAACAACCAGCCACCTTCACCGAAGCCGATAATTGGTGGTGAAATACAAGGAAGCCTTCTTGGCCCTATTCTATTTCTCTTATTCATAAATGACATATTCTCTGCGATCAATTAAGGCAAGCCATACCTCTTTGCAGATGATCTCATGATATTATATGATTATGGATACGGTGATATGATTGTTGAAAGTAGGATCCAACATGACTTAAACAATCTAGGCGATTGGAGAGAAAAATAGCAACTAACTTTCAACCCAGACAAGTGCGGTATGACCCACCTTAGACGCTGGAAACTGAGAATGTGCATATATATGTACAGTAAGTTCCTCCCAAAATTGAACACAGTCACAGATCTCTGCATAACAGACTCGGATTTAACCTTCTCCGATCATGAACCTGAGGTAGAATCTGACAGTAACTTTCACACTCAAAACGATTCGCTTTATGAGACATGTATTCGCCTCAAACTTGAAACACTGTTATAGCAACTCATGCATAACGTGGGCAAATATCAAATCATACCAGCTGCAAAACCATGACTACCTTGTCAAGGTGGCTACCAACAGAAAATCCATTAGGGGAAACTTTGTCACCATTAAATATTGCACTCTTTGGACCCAACTCCCAACTGAAATTAGACGTTTCGCGAACCCCAATGTGTTCAGACGCAATCTAGAAAAACATCAACCTGTCCAGTCTAGCTCGCCTAAAAGAACACAAATGTTGGTATAATGGTAAACAATAGCCACTGCAGTCTTCAGCCTGGTCGATCACGACCCAATTCTACTGCTTACGCAGCAGTCGCATAACCAATGCATTGGTTTTCTCTTCTACATAATCTTCAATAAGTTGGGTCAGTGTAATTGTTTCTAGAAACAATTATTTAGCAGCCACACCTTTTAATATCTTAAATATATATAATTAATAATACAATGCTATTTTTCCTGTCAATAACTACCTTTTCTCATATGCTTTTCTAAAATGTATAATTTTATAACATTTCGCAGTATTTTTAACGTAACATAAGTTGAAGGGTTACTTTGCAATGTGTGACGCATACCATATGAAAATCGGTCAAGAAAATTTAGCGTAACTAGCTCTGTTAACGTGCTGTTCTCCTCGGGAGCATTCTACATAACTTTGTCACTAATTATTCCATTACCCATTTCACTCTGGACCATAACTTAGTTGTAGTAATGCTAACTACTTGTATACTTTATGAATTTTTAAGGGAAACTTAATTTT